CGTGCCCTGATGATGACAAAACGGTGAAACCGGCGCACATCACGCACGTCCTGCTTTGCGGTTCGCGATCGGTTCCCGGGAACGATATCCCCGCAGTCATCCTCGGGCGATGTTCGCGACTTTGCTGGCGGGCTTGCGTTCACGACGTTGAGTACGCGCGTTCGGGGAGAGCGCTTATCAGCGCTGACGCGTCATTCCAGCTTTTTACATCCAACGAGTGACGAAGATAGAATGACTCACAAGGATGGAATCGGCGCTGACAGCATGCTATCCCCGAACACGCCGCTGGAGATTTCTCGATCCGAGTTTGTCGAACGCGGAATACGAAATCCTGGAAAATATTGCAGATCTTGGTAATTTCTGCGGTAATTCCTAGTAACTTCATGTCCGACCAACAACTCCGACCGAAGAATCCCAGCATCGTAGACATGAGCGCTTGCACTTTGCCCCGAACGGGTGTTCCGTCTGTTTCCACCTCGTTGAAGCTGCTCTCAACTACAAGGACAAATTGCAAACGCTATCTGTTCCGTTTCATAGAATACAGAGAATCGAAAGAGATCAGTCGCATACACATACACACACAGAGAGACGCACGATGCGCTTTCCCGTTCGTCGGCGAGTTTTCGAAAACGACGTCGACTGCCTCCGTCTCGACGCATCGGTGAGAAGAGGCCTTGGATATGCTTAACCAACGATACGTCGAACGTTTACATAACGGCGACAGCTTTAGAAAGTGCGAGGGAATCCGAAAGATCCGAGAAGCCAGACACAATAAGGGCCGTGACTCGCTGAAATGTTTCGCTTTGCGGCCTGACGTAACAATACACGAAGAACGAGTTGCAAAATATTACGAATGTCTGTAACCAGTGGCAGCAGATCCAATCGCAGAACGGAACCGATCAACGGAGGCCGGCGGACGTGGAAGAACGTCTCGATACGCTGTGGTTCGGCTCGACGACCAAATATATAAATGTCGCTACTGATGTCCGTCTCAAAATAGCGCTCGCTTTATAGTTTTGAAGTTTTAGAAAATATCCGTTATTTTCCTTCATGATTTTTCCGCAGATTTCTTCGGTTTCTGTCCAAAAAGTGCGCAAATCCGTCTAGAAAAATCCACATATTTTCACGGTTGAAACATGCTACATTTTTCTCCCGTAAAGAAGAAATCCAAAAAAATTCACGGAAAACTCGGGGAAAAACGGATACTTTTCGAAAATTTTAAGATCATAGTTCGTTTCTTTCGCTCACTCTCAGGATATCATAAGAAGCTCTGAACTTTTGCTTCGCTCTTATATCTGCTGTAAAGCTACATGTCATTTCTTACACTTTATCTTCATAGTTTAATTGCACTTCGGTTGAGGCGAGCAAAAGACAAAAATATCCTTTGTAAAAGAAAGAAAGAGAGAGAGAGAGAGAGAGAGAGGCGGGCGCGCGTCCGGCGATTTGAATACCAAATCACCGCCTCTTGTGCAATTCCCTCTCTCGCCCGAGTCTCTTCTTTTTTCTCCCCGTGTGCTCGGTCCCGGGTCCCTACGACCTTTCCATGTCTACCTGCGTGCCCCGCGTATTTTTAGGCGTGACACGCTTTCTTTGTGCCGATCGGACCACCGTCACCAAAATAACTCACCGCAAAAAAGCACGCGCGGTACTGTTAAAATAACGCTCGTTTCATCTCTCTCTCTCTCTCTTCCTCCCCATCCATCTCTTTATCTTAGGCGTGTCCATCGGACTTCTTAACACTTCGCTCGATAACGCTCTCCGCCAATACGAGCTTCTTCATCGACTCTATTGCTATATACTGTGCCACTTACCATTGCGCCGGTACACTGACGATGTTCGTCCGGTGTCTGATCGTAACGAGATTCTCAATCGATCAATTAGCACGTGCCAATTAGAGCCTGAACAAAAGCAAGTGGCAGAAACCATGGGTCGGAACTCGGGGGAGTGACTGATTCATTAGAAGATTTCGCGTTTTCACCAATTATACCGAGCTTTCCCGAAGCAGATAGTTCAATTTCATCATCTGGTTTGTCCATTTTTCGAGATCCCAGAGAGAGATCTTTGAATCTCCTCTCGGAAACTTCGACTCCACAAAGGCCTGCGGAACGTTAAACGTTAATCATTGGATTAAAAAGAAATTAAAAAGAAATTAGTAAATAAAGGAAGTATTACTTTATGTGAAACTTCTGCAATTGGTTCTTAATTTCAAAAGTTTCAACCAAGCTGTGTATTATTTCAACGAGGATAACTTTAGGTGAAAACAAGAATTACCTTGGCAAGGAGATGGAGGAAAATAAAAGAACAGGAGCAGATGACGAGAAGTAGCAGAAGGAGAACCGAGTAACTTGGTTTAGCCTCTCCTAGGCTTTGTCTGTATGGGAAGACAGAGACATAGCCTAGAATAGGTTAGGTCAGGGCTCGTTCGGCATGATCATCTTCGTACACATTATCCTTCGGCGCCGGTCATGCAAGGGGGCACAGGGGGACGGGCACGCCCAAGGTCAAGCTCAAGGTCAACAATCGCTGAGAACGATCTCGGGGATGCAACGCGCGTCGGAATCTGCGGGGAATTTTAATGCACGTTATTAAATTAATTAACGTTATATCGTGTGTCAGCGCTTCATATACGATAAAGAATAATGAGGATAATTGAGAATGAGCGAAAATACAGGTTACAACGCGATCGCAGGGAATCTGTAATTACAGGCACGAATGCACGTACAAATATGAACGCAGGTATGTTTTGCAACGATGTATACCTAACTAAATCTTAATCAATCGTCGTTTACTGAGGTGCCTCTTGCGATCGTTGTTTAAGAAGAAGAAAATCTTACCATTTTCAATCGGCCATTTTTATCAACGTCCTTAGATGGCGCTAGAATGAACGTCATCTGACATGCAGGTAGGTCGCTTCTTTACCTGCGGTGAATTTGCGTTACCGATCGTCATAAAAATAATAAAAAACATTTTGCACAATATCGATGATAGTTTACGACAGGCAAGTAAATATAAGAGCGAAAATTGGCGCGAGCCAATTTGTTTATCGATAAAATAAATTATTTAAGAATTACATTAATCTTTCGAACAATAGAATTTCACACGTTTTAACGCTCTTATCACGGATAATTTGACGAGAAACGATACACTCAGATTTTCCTGTTAATTCAACAAATTAAGTTCTATTACAAAATGCTCTTTCCACACCATGCGAGGAAACAAAACCGTATATCTCTAGCGTGCATCTCTGCGAAAGCGCCATGTGGAAGGCGGGAAGGATAAAGTAGTAGACGTGTATCTTTAGACTTAATAAACTTCTCATTTATGCCATTCGTACAGTTCGCAAATTATCCTTAAATCCTGTCACATTTTCGCAACTTTCGCTATAGAGAAGAAATTGTTTATCTCGAGATCAAAATATAAACGGAGCCCCCGAAACCGTTCTTCGCCACTTCTTCTACGCACTGCCTCTGTCAGTCGGGAGAATCGAAACTATTCGATAAATATACAGTATTACAGTGGCATCACCCCTCGGGGTGGGGGCGAGCCACGAATTCATCTTCTTCGAGGCGCTTCTTCACTTCACGCGTCGTCGATTCACGTACCTCTATAGTAAACGATCTTCAAAGAGCAAGGACTTATCGAATTATCGCTACGACACATTACGCGGACTCGCGCGCGGTTTCTAAGAGCATAAAAACACGGGTACACAGCTCGAAAGTACAAGTTGCAAGCATACAAAATATCGCGTGTCGCCGCATCATATTGTTCGCTCGTGCGATCGCGCACATCACGGATCCCACCGTAAATTATATATCCTGTTCACGCAGCCACACGGAATATTCTCATCAGCGTGAGACGGAAAAGGTCCCGTGAGAATCGATCGGACATCGTTCCCCGAAAGGACGTCGCTCCTCGCGACGAGAAAGCGCGTCTCGCAGACTGGCTTTTCCGTCTACGATCTACCGGGATACACTGAGCAAGACGATAACACATCATTAGCGCCACGTGACTGCGTTAATTACCGCCCGATTGGCATGAAATCACGCTATCGCTAAGGACTATGTACAAACGAGTCAACAAACTGAACGACCGAGGGACAATCGAGTTAACAGAGCGGTGATTACGAGCAGCTCGCGCTAAAGACAGAGTTTATTCGCAGTCGCAGTGACATAAATAAATTGATCCTTCCGGTGATCAATTATCCTCGTATTTCTGCGCGCGTTTTGACGCGGCTCTTTGCGATTTAAAGGTGTATTCTAAACGAAAAACTCGCCGTGAAATCCGTGGCGGGTTTTGTTACAATGAAAAGTGCTTAACATCTTTAAAATTTGTCTTAAATTTTTCTAAACAAATTTTTCTACCATTGTGGAAAAAACCGAAAGAAACCTACGGAAAATTGTAGAAAATCCGCTTTTTCCCGAGATTTAAAAATTCATGTCAATATACCCGTCTCCCTCGATTGCGTATCTCTGTAAGGTGCAGTTCTCGTGAAACTAAATCGTAACAGACCGTGCAACCGGGATCAAGTGAGAAAACTCGAGTGGGAAAGCGCGGAACTGATAAATCCTACTGCCTACCGTACGCAAGGTACACTGATATTTGACACACGTCGCGAAGTAACGATAACACATTGATATTTAAGACATCTCTTCATATTAGGATTCGTATTCGAGCACGATCTCTCGATATAGCTGTGTGTCTGATAGTATCTCGTAGTGTATGGATAGTATTGCTGCTTGTGATTAACTTTACATCTCGACCCGCTCAAAATAACGATACAAATTTCATAGTAAGACTATTAGAAAAAACATCACGCACGTTATTCCTTCACACAATCCCGTACACTCTCTTCGTTCTCTCCTCCTCCTCCTCCATGGTGACTGTTCGCGTAAAAATCACGTTTGAAAATATCGTTTCTATTCCCGTTGTTGTATTAAAAAGACGGCTGAGAAGAGACTATGCGATCGATAGTCAAATGCGGCAACCGAACGCGAACTACGAAGGAAAATTGTGAACATTCCCCGAAATCTCCCAGTGCCAGTGATCATCGTATATATATATATATATATATATATATATATATGTGTGTGTGTGTATATATATATATATATATATATATATATATATGTATGTATGTATGTATGTATGTATGTATGTATGTATGTATATATATATATACGTGAAAAAAAAGAAGACCTTAACTTAACTAACTAAACAATTTTCAGTTTTAACAATAAGAAGCAGTCTCTCTCTGTGCTACACAACGACTATCAACTGACCGTTCGTTCCCGCGGTCTATATTGAATAACGATATGACGTGATATGTATGTGATTTATATTTCTCGGTGGAAACGGCAAATGATAAATTTCACGTTCCCCTGCATATGCACATGGACGTCGCTTCCACGACACCCCGTACTCGGTCAGTTGATAATCGCGTTGTGTGCGAAACAATAATGTACATTACACGCTATCGGCGCTAACGTAACTCGCTAAAGAAACGTAAGTTCGGGAAATAGTGCGACACGACAGATTCACTCTGCTCGATCAGTGCTTTACTTTAGTCCCGAGAGAGCCATCCCGCACGCCATCGTCGCCTTTATCGTATTTCCCTACGTGTTTTAGTCAATAGTCCGACTAAGGCCTACGAATCTAGAGTGCTGACTCATAAATATGATATGTCGAGTAAAATGTAATATACCTACGGAGGTGATGATAAATCTGAATGTAGTACAGTAGAATTAATTACGAGTGAGGCTGCGCGCGCGTGTGTCATATGTTTATGTAGGTTTGTGTGTGTATGTGTGATATGTAGTGTGTCGGCGCCGATGTCGTCACCTTGAATCATTTACGCTCACTGCGTTCTTTCGTTTCGTCTTCTACTGATTTCCGATGAGCACGAAAAAGAAGCGGAGTTGATAAGAGCATCGCATGGTCCCAACGATGAGTCTTCACGTACATGCTTACTTTTTGTCATCAAGTTCCAATCGACACCACGTCCCGACACGTTCGCGTGAAAAGAAACGGTGAGTCGCAACAGCGGCACCGACACGACTCCGCCCGACCAAGTGGTTTACGACAAGTGTGTGAGCTCCTCCTCTCCCTAAAAGCAGAAACGAATCGTTTACCACGTTTATGACATTTTTCACTCGCCGGAAAACAACACAAAATCATCCCCAGGATAATCGCTGGAATGTAATAATGGCGTTCGCGCCGATCGGCCAATTGTGAACGATCCTCCTTCGTTTCTACTTCTCTCCCAGACGACGTCCGTAAACCTCGGCCCGAATATCATAATCTCATAATCTCTCTTTCTCTCTCTCTCTATTGTATAGATATAGATCGATCGCCAACAATCTGATATGAAAAAACTCACTAACCGTGATGGGACGTAAACATTTATACTATTTAAGTCTGTCGATAGCAGCGTATTTCTCCCTATCCGATAAACTCTTTCCCCGAAGACTCGACGAAGCGCATCCTCGAGCTCCTGTACACCAGGACACCGCCGCTAACTTCACATTTACGCCCTTATTGCCTAGAAATAGGTTACCTCCTCCCTCTATTCTCTGAAGGAACTCCTTGTGTTCATATTATTTCTCCACTGCCACTCATCCGTTGCTTGTTGTATCAGCGACAGTAAAACTTTAGCCAAGTTTCCCCAAGTGGACTATAGAGATATTATATTGTGTCCGTGTGTGTGTATGTGTGTGTGTGCTACGTGAAGACGTGCGATTCTGATTTTTCGTTTTGTAGAAAATAACATTCCACGTTATTCATATACGTGTCATCACTGGAGTCTAATGCATGTTCATAAATTGAACGTATCGTAAGCTTAGAGACGATTAACGTTGACTAGAGGCGATAATCTCTTGGATTTACGCTATAAAGCTGAATCATCTATCCCTTTTCTGTCCAAAAGTCTTCATCTATGAAAATTGAGGTTTCATACGGCAGCGTTTATATTACGTGAATAATGCCTTCTCTTCTCTCTTTCTCTCTCTCTATCTTTCTCTATCTATCTCTCTGTCCTTGAAATAGCGAAGATCTAGCGTCTAGGTGATGGATCTAATGCATACTAATAAATCGGTAAAAAGCGGAAGTACTGAATACATAATTGCTTGATCGCTTCCCGTCCATAGGAATGTTCTCCGCGCGTGAAGAGAGTTTCGCATCAGCGTTCTCTTTCCTCCCAGTGGGTCTTCCTCGCGAGAACATAAAACGATTGCTGCACACATCCGCGGTGTAGATCTCTGTGTGGCGTTTTATATGTGTGATCGCGTCTCCGGACGAACGTGTATCCTCCGCGAACAGTAACGGAGTGATACGATCGAATTGTTCCACATTATGCACGGGATATCGTTTAGCCTATCGATCGAAAGTAAGAACAGCTATGTATGGGCTTCTATGAGCTTCGTGTATCTCTCGAATAATTGAGATATCAAATTGCACTGCCGATAATATACCAGAAAATGTTCTAATTTACGTTCTTATTATATACGACGTATCATTACGGATGACTGTGCATCCTCTATCCATTAAAATTGACACGTTTTGCGGCGTATAGCCTTATTAAAATAGTTGCAGTGTACGTGTGTGTGTGAGTGTAATCGAGTGAGTGTGTATTTGTGTGTACATATCTTGCACATCCTTTGTTCGATACTTATGTAACGGTTTATATCGTCAAAGATAAAACAACGGAGTAATCGTATAATTTCAGAGTGAATATCTTGCGTATGGAAATCACGCATTTCGGTCACGCTTCATCGTCTAATCTTGGAATCTCCTTCTTCCTATCTCTCTCGCTTGTTCTTACCGAACATCTCACGTTCCACAAGCGATAGGATACGAGAGTACTTTGATCCAACTCCGGGAACTCTGTTGTGTCAGCAAGCTCAAGTCGTTAGAAACGTTCTGTGCGCTTCGAATATGCGAGTGTCCTCAGAGACAACAGTGCCTTATCTTCGATATTACTTAGGATATGTCACTTTGTACAAAGTCTCGTTTTCTAAAAAATTCTTTTCCTTTTGATCGGTAAATTATTGACATGTGTCTTGAACATCATTATCATCATCATCATCCTTCGAGTAAATCCTAAGAATATAGGAAATCTCTCCTCCTCCACACTTTTTCACTTTCATCCCCGTCTCTCTCTCTACGCATTCGGGATTTTCCTGTGAAAATCTGACCTACAAATTCGCAGATACGAGTTCTCCCGTGTTTGTTGCCTCGTACACAATAACAAAACGTTGCTGACTCCAAACCAACGTCGCAATCCTTCTTCTTCGTCGACGAGGAGCTTTATAAGAAGACGGTATGAGTGTGAGGCAATTTAAGGGTCGCAACGCTGGCGATCAATAACGTCAGCGCCGTTAACAGTGCGGGCGCGATTAACGGTGCAGTCACGAATGCCTGATATATCGTGGTTCCTATCAGTCCTGATATTCTTATTGCCGCTGCTATAAGTCCGAAACCGGTGCATCTGTAAGAACGCAATGACGTAAGCGGTGCAACTTTACCGAATTTTTCTGAGCTTAACGAATTCCCCTTTCTTTCAAAGAAAGGAAATTCATTTGTCTAACATCATCAACAGGAAGTTTCCGTCACCTCAGGTGTGTAGGGAAGCTTTCGACAGTCGCTAGAGTTAACGATGTCCAACCAACGGCAAAAACGGCTATGAAGCCGCCCTCGAAACCAAGAACCGCTGAACTGTTTCTGTGTATCAGTACCAGGGACAGCGCAACGACGGAAGAGAAAAACAGCGAGAAACCTGAAGAACGCGAAGAATATTATAAGTGAATAAATCGTGCCAAAAAATCGCACTCCGTCCCAAGTGTATACACTGACCGATCAATTTTGGCCGCTGAAGAACGGTAAGTGCCAAGCCCGCCAGTGCGGCGGCAGGCACGAAAGCCAGTTGAGCAACGAGGTGAGCATGCAACGCTTCTTCGATATAAATGTTATAGTCCAGATCGAGGGTCGGGCACGACCCGCTTAAACTCAGTTCCGTGTTGTTCTCCAATTTACACCTGGTGAAAGCTTGCGCAGATAAATCCGTGTCAACAAATCTGCAACGAAGTACATTCGCTCAATACAATGTTATATATAATATATAACAATATATAATACACACTCATTCCCTTTATAATCTTTATATACTTTATATATATCTTTATGCACTTACTTGGAATATATAATAACACTGTCTCTAAAGTGAGTCTTGCTAGACTTAATGCTACTGAATTCTACCGAATGGAAGGTACAGTTGTCAAAGTCGACATGGCTGAATACCATCTTAGTAAACCTGGAAATATTTCGGGATCACGAAGTATAATCGGCCGTTACGCCTTCTCAATCTACTAGAAATATCTACGCTCTAACTTTCACGGTCATGGTTGGAGCGACGTTCGTACTTGCAGTTCAAAAATGTGGAGTCTTTGTACTGACGATTTTCCCAAGAGCCGCTGAACGTTGTACTATTGAAATCCACCTTTTGAAAGTGTTCCGTGTGTGCCTCGTATTCAATCGCTCGCAAAAGCTTCAGGTATTCGGGACACCATATCATCAGACCGTACAGGCTGAGCGCAGTATAAACGGAGCGAATCTTTGTGAGAGATCCTTAATCGCACGGTAGTGGTAAATATTCAAATATTTAAAGGAATTTACCTGAACGAAGCGGCGGACCAAATAGTCAAGAGGACCAGAGTCACGCGTAGGTGGGGCGTCGCAAACAACTCCAGAAAAGAATTCCAGAACTAAGCGTGAACAGCAAATTCAATATTATCGTTGGAATATTTAATTCGAGGGATTTAGACTTGGGAAACAAGTAGAGTATAATATGTGACTTCTAGCCGGTATCTCGTGGGAGCAAAGAAAAATCACTAAAATCTATTAAGAACCACTAAAATCCATCAAAAACCACAAAGGAATAATAGAAATATTTTTGGGAGATACAAAATTTTAGGTTTTTCTGAAGTTTTTAAGATGATTTGGTGTGATTTGTTATGGATCTTAGTGGTTTTTAATAGATTTTAATGATTTTTTTTTGCCCCCACGAGATACCGGCTAGAAGTCACATATTATACTCTGCTGAAACACGTATCATACAGCGCTGTATTCACCATTTCGATCGAGTATATTATGTCGGCCAGTACACTGGTATGATTGCTCGGGGAAGGTGGTGCCAAGCCACGAGGTCTTTTAGTCGGGAGTTCCAGTTCAGAGAGCTGATATTGAGCACCTGTTGCACCTTTCCGTGCGTTATTTTTTTTATATATCCTCTGAGAGACATTAAATTATCATATAAAAGATAGAGAGATATAGACGTTGGAGGTGAGAAGAGTCAATTGTCATTGGTCGCGTTAGGCATACCTGGTAAACCATCATTGCTTCCACATCTCTACCGGCCTCTACAAGATACCTTGGGCTTTCCGGTAGGAAGATGAGGCCGATCGTGGAGCACAACGCCGGCAGACAACACAGTAACAGGAATCGATGCCAGGCGCTGAAGTGTTCCTTGTTCTCGAGAACGACCATTTCTCCCGTCGTAGGTACCACTGCCCATGCTAAGAGAGCAGCATAGACACCTCCCAGGGCGCCGGCTGTCACGAGTATTCCCGTCCAACGGCCTCTGCTTAACCGTGGACAGCATTCGGCGAGATAGGCAAATGCCAATGGCACAGCTCCTCCGACTCTGTAATGAGAGATTGGAGAAATATGTCAGTTGATGTAAGTCAAATCAAGTTGATGGAAATGGCAGTGAGTTGTACGCAAGATATGAGAAAGTTGCTTACCCAATAGCTGAGCAAAATCTAGCTGTCATAAAAGTGCCGTAGGTAGGCATGAATGTTGCGACACCGCTGAACAGGGCATGTACAGACATAGCGGACAAGAGGGATCTGCGTCTCCCCAGTCTGTCTCCAAGACCACCCCAGAATAATCCACCCAATGCAAGACCAACAAGGGTAATGTTACCTGGAATATGATATCGATATTAGCGATACAGCAATTTATGCAACGGTGTAAACTGCAACAATGTCTACGTTCAGCAGGATCTTTCTAAATTTTGTAGATCTAAGAGAATAATCTGATCTCAGCATAGGAAACTTCCAACGGTTGTAAAATAAATATTCGGCTAAACGTGGCCAATGGCAACTAACCGAGCCATCCTTTCTCGCTGTCTTCGATGCACAGTTCGACCTCTGCGCTTGGCAATATGTAAGGAACAACGAAAAACTCAACGGTGTCTGCGGCCAGACTCAAGCCTGTACAGAAGGCGGCGAATATCTGGAAGTAACCGACACCAGCCTGCAACATTACAATGGTATCGTTATGTCACTTAAACATTGTTCGATATGATTTTCTCTTTTTGTTTAAATGGAGAACCGGACCGTTTGCAGCGCGACAACCGAATGCATTCACCACCACCACCACGGCTATCACTGAAGTGTCAAACAAAGAATATTTACTGGGAAATCCTTTAAATAGCCCGGGACCTCGCGTGGTACATATTTTGGCTTGACAATCGACTCATCCAGGACCTCCTCCATCTTGTTGGGATAATAAAGGAGTCGAGCTTGTGAGCAAGGTGATAGGAGTCATTCACCGTGAGTGAACGATTTGACAAAAAACGACGCCATTTCACCTAGGTTATGTTTTTATTATGTCCTGCATTCTGCACCCCACACACTACACTCGACACTCCGGCTGATTATTCCCAATGGCCAATCAAGTGGCATCTTTCGAACTTCACGTTCTATCATTGGTACGATATCGGGTAATCGATCGGTGCTTTTCGATGCACATATCGATAATCCTCCGATGCAGATATCGATAATCGTTAGTATTCGAAAATATTCATGGCCGCTGTTGCACGAGAAAGTGGATGGATGTGACGAGGTAGCCCTCTTTCAATGCGTACTTTTTCAGCGAAGGAAGATAAAAGATAAGTAAATAAAACCCCATTTCCGATGTCTTGCAGGAAGTATGAAGTATATTTCTCGACCGGTTGACAGATGACGCCTGCTTATTGACGATGTTTCGAGAAACTTCGTCGAGAGATAAGAATCTCTTGCATTCGATATATAAGGTATTCCGCTATATAAAAAAAAAGAGCAAAGCGAGGATCATGTAAGGGGATCGATTTTTGATAGCCAATATCAAGAAGTTCGTTCTTTGTAGCCGGGCTAGATTGCACCTTTCACCTTTAGAGCGAACCAAGTGCATAATCTAGCGTTGGAGGGAAATAGAACCGATGTGATTGCACGGGGAAGGTGCGGCCAAATCACGAGGTCTTTCGGTCGGGAGTTCCACTTCAGAGAGCTGATACTGAAGTTTCAACGCAGCGCTAGTTCAAGCTAAAACGAACAGGCCTGACAAATCCAATTGGTATCGCAACGGAAAATTGTTTTTTTTTCTTTTTTTCGACAAAGAATTAACACGACCAATTCTGTTCGGTGCAACCTAGAAGAGGGGAAAAGTCCGTTTCACGATGGCCGCTCGTGGAGTGTCACCTGCTTAATGGCATCCTCGTGGAACTGCGCCAGGAGAGTCGCGTCCGCGGTCGAGTCGATGAGATCGTGCTCCGCGGAATCGGCGGACGCCGAGTTCACGCCTGCCGTGGTTACGCTTGCCGGTTGCGTCGCCATCTCCTCGGTGTAGAGACCGGTCCTAGTGTTCAGGATACGCTCCCCGCCGCCCGTTTTCGTCGCGCTGCCGCCGGAGGGTGCGAGGCCGCCGCCACCACTGCCAACAAGCCACTGGCTTTCCTCCTCCGATGAGGGCATCACTGCCAGAAACCATCTGGAAGGCAAGATAATGGCGATAATGAGCAATTAACACGAGGGATTCCCTCCTTAATACCGCCCACTAATACGTCCTTCACGTGTTACGCGATAATTATATTCGACAATCTCTCTCTCTCTCTCTTGCACGCTGTAGGTTCCGCGCGCGAGCTAATTGTGCGTAATTAATACACCAGACTCCGCTTGGCGAGCCACCTTCGGCGAATTGAACTTGAAAGTGCGCTATCTACCCGGTGGAGCAGTGGAGATTCGCAATAGGCCACAGTACTCTATTAGCGCAGATAAGATAAGGCGCACATTTGTCGCGAGATAAAGACTCGAGGCATGGATCGAATCAATATTGAGATTTCTCGGAGATACGCGCAGCCGGAAGTCGGACAAACATTAGATGAAGGAGTCGCCGGAATGATGATTTCTCCAGATGCGGGAGCAATCAGGAGGGTCCGATAATGCCGTGCTTTGGGCCCCTCCTGATTTTTAGTTTCACTTATTAGTCATGAAAAAGACTTGGGTATCATAATGGCACATCTAGACTAATAATTATAGCTTTACGGATCGAGGTTTTTTTTCTTCATCTAGTGATTATTTTTTACATTCCTAATGGTCATACAATGCAAAAAAAAATAATGAAAATCGAGAGGGGGCACAAAAACGGCTTTATTGACCATCCTCCTTACTCTCTCCCGGAGGGCAAATCGGCCACAGTGTCGTCCCGCATTCTCTCTCTCTCTCCCCCTTTGTACGACGCGCGTCATCGCGCACACACGGACTGTTCCGCGCTTTTTATTTGCTTCCGCACCGCTTCGTTTGACCGGCGCTATATCGATATAATGTTAAAACTGCGGTTCCCGTCGGAGCGGCGAAGCGCAAGGGAGCGGATATATACCGCAACGCGGAGCGATGTGTGTGTGTGTGTGTGTGTGTGGCGAGCCACGAGCGGACTTTCTCCGAAGAGAGAGGGAGAGAGCTTATCTCGCTCGCGCGCGCGCCCGGTGCATGTGCGTGGAAAAGCGTGCGTCATGTTTCTGCTTATAAAGCGCACGGCCGCGCTCGCGCGGTTCACTGACCATCGTACACGATATTCGCGGTGACAAGTGAGATATTCGACATTTGCGGGAGCCTCAGCCGGGCGATAAGCGAGTGTTTACACTGCGTGAAAATCGCGCCTAGTCTATCTCGCCGAAAAAACGCCGAGGATGAATCGGATAAAATCGTGGATAAATACGCTGCTGGAATCGTGAGGCTGTTTATGCCGGGGAAAAATGGCGCGACTGAGTCGTCCGTTTGCCGTTTTCCGGGAGACCGGATGAAAAACTCGGTTTTAGGAACAAGGAGATTACTACGCAGGAAGTTTCCACGCGGCTCAATCGCCGCAGTTGTCTCGACCGAGTTTTAGCGCGGCTGAATGTTCACGCAAATGTTCTCAGTTTACGGAGATACCATTTTCTCGTCACCGTGCTTTCATCTGGTCCCCCCATTTAGTTGCAGGAACTGACCTTTCCCTCCGTGTATTATGTTGCGCACGGAGGAAACAATTCCGTTAATGTAACTGAATTTCCCTCAACTTTTCTCTGACTTGCGCTTGAAATGAAAAACTTTTAAGAACCAGAAAGATTCCCGTAGGAAAAGTTTCCCGTGGAAAAAGTTCGGTCAAAATTGTCGCTCAGTCGTCTCAAGCGAGTTTTCACGCAGCTGAATGTCCTCAGTCGCGGGGATAACAGAGATAATATCATTTCCCGTCACCTGAGCTTTCCATCTCCGGCCCTCATTCGGTTGCAGCGGGAACAGATTTTTCTTTTTTTTATTTTCCGCGTGCGTACATCACTCACGAATTTTCCGAATAGGAGAATCCTCCTCGGCTTTTTAACGACGATCTGTCGATAACAATGCGCTTATCTCTCTTTCCCCCGGACAATTCGACATGCATACACACGTCATCGCATTACAGTTCCTACGTCGCAGTCCTTTGACTCATACATCCTGCATGCGGATATACAGTCTCGCCTATCGTCGACCTTAGCCGGGCTATTGGGCGGACGGACAGAGAGAGCGCGGCTTTCGCGTGCATTTCGCGGCGGTAATGCAGCGCGCTTATGAGCCCCCGCGGCCCGTTGAAACACGCGGAGGTCGCGTCCCGCCAAGGCTGATTAATTCTCAGAATTAATGCGACCTGCCGCAGCACGCGTATTACAGGCTCTTTCCTGAGCATATATGTATACATGCACCGCTAATTTTCATCGATCTGCGCTCGCATTACATACGCGACCGCACGTTACACGGCTTTCCGTGCTTTACGCTTGTAGTAGTTCGAGCACGCGTACACACGAAGTGTCCCGAAATTAGACTGACAAATTTCATGTGCTTACAAAGGACACTGGAACAAGTAACTTTTGCGATTAATCCATGTCCGCAAATGAGCTGTTCCAGCACTAGATATATATATATATATATATATATATCAACAAAATATATATATATATATATATATATATATATATATATATATATATACTTTGAAAACCTGTAAAATATCACGTCCAGATGTCCAGTTATTCAAGGTTGTTAAAGGGGAAAGATTTTATATGATATTAAAATCTATCTACACCATCTGTACGTAATATTTCACAAGGCTAAAAAGTAACGCGTCACTTTTAAAAGTAACGAATAACACGTTACTTTCAAAGTAACTCGTTACTTCCTGAAATTAGTGTCATACGCACGCAAACTAACGATTTACATTCATCACCGTTGCCCAAGAAATGTAACCGCCTCGCAGTTACTAATGAAGTTTAGTGACGACATCACGCATGTGTCGTTATTAGACCATTATTGAAAAAAAAAAGGATAAAAAATAGCTTCGTCATAAATAACGAGTAACTTCCCCTAACCTTCGTATCGATGTATCGCAAACAACGGGTCGCCGAGAGTTCCGCGTTTTTCCTCACGATTTTTCCAGTCACCCCTTCGAGACGCGTCGTCGGCACTTTCGTTCACGGACGGCCACGAGCGCGGACACACACACACATACGCGACGATTTCATCGATCTGAAAGCGATTACGCGCGACTTCGCGCTGGTGACACGTATTTCCGTGTTTTCCGAGCGCAACGTGTACACAGACAGAGATACAGGTAGACGCGCGGGTGCCGGCTACGATTGTGAGAGTGTGTATCTGTATATGTGCCGCGTGCACACATACACACACACACGTGCACGTGTCAGTCTCGCGCCAATGTCGCGTCGGCAGTCACGGCCGCAGCGGCGACTCGCTGTTTTCGCAGTTCCTCTATTTTCCACGCGGTCGGTTATTTTTGCAACACGACACCCGTCTCGCGGCTTCGCGAGTTAGCATCCGCGCGTACTTGCCCTTACAACGATGATTATGTAGGACAAATGCGCACGAGTGTGCACGCCGCGCGCGGCACATTGCCGGCTGAGATGGCAGAGCTCCAAGAGACGCCTTCCTCGGATCCTCCGTTTCCCCCTCGGCGAAATTCCGCCGAAAGCGTCATCGGAGACCTTCGAGAAACACGAGTGGACTGGAAAAAGTACTTTGTATTTGATTAATCTCGGTTGTTTTCTCGTGCGAGGAAATCTCGTTTGCCAAGAAGCTGAACGTTGCAAATCGCGAGCGAGCGAATGACGGATGACACCCTGTGACATTTTCGCCGAGGAGAAATCGACTCGGGAAGTCGTATATCGGGGATACGCGCTCTCCGTACTATTATAATACTCCAGAGCGGTACGCGTTAGTGAGCAGCAGAGGATCCGGCGGTATCAATTTCGGTGATGGATGTGCGCCGCGTTCATCGAGCCGATTCTAGCGCGAAGTACTCGAGGATGAATCTCGGCCGCTTTGTCAAAGTCTCCTACGATTTTCAGCCTTGTATGTAAGCCTGAAAATTGCACGGGTTACTACGTACTTTATTGTCTATCCAGTAAGCGAGAAATATTCGACCAATCTCTTGAAATATCGATTTCACGTGAATTTCATAAACATTTTGGCATAATAATTTATAAATGTTTTTATATGTATAAACTTTTACTTGATAAAATAATATTTCTAAATATTAAAATCACAGTGTAGAAATATTCTTTTTCACGTCTGGGTCAAATATTGTTAACAATGACATTGTATACAACATTGAGGACATATTTGAAAATGTTACATTTTATGACATATCATTGTAATAATATTGTGTTGATTTCTTATTTACAGGATATTATCTGCAATAATACATCGTCATTATATATCATCATTAATTGTTTCGTAATACTCCTCAGCATTTCCTCATTCTCATTTTTAGATTTGTTCTTTTTTACGACGATTCTGTATCTTTAGCTCTTTATCATGCATTAATTTGAATTTTAATCGTCGCTCTCTCATAGGATTTATCTTGGAGCGTAATAAAGTTTTATTCTACTCTATTCTATTCGAAAATGTTGACTCTGAAATACGGAGATTGTACACTATTCCGAAAAATGCTGAACTCTTATCTTATCGGACCGAGTCAACTTTGATATTTTTATGAGAAATTATGCATCGTTAACAAGTATGTCGTAAGTGTTTATGTAACTTGATCGAATCTTTGTGTTACTAAGGATAGTCGCTTAACGTATGAAAACAAAATTCTATGATCAAGCGGTGCATTCTAAATTTCTTGGAGTGGAATCTTACTCAAAACAAGCGAAAAGTGG